AATGGCAGGTCGAACCTGCTGCCGTTGGGTGTCGTTGCGACCGTCTGCCACCGCCGGACGCCATATCGCTGCTACTGCCCGCTTTTCATGTTCCTGTTGCTGTCGCAGCGCACCTCAGGAGATATCGGAGCAGCAGCAGATAGTTCCCGGGGCCACGCACTCAGCAGCCAGATCATGAGGTGAGTTTCCTTTCAGTAGGAACGGGTCTAAGGACACAATGCCGACCCGTTTAGCTAGCAGTAGTTTCCGGACTTCGGTCCGATGCAGATTCTAGTATGTTTGATGCCTTCGTGGCTCAGACAGGATTTTGTGTTATGTGTTCCAGGTACATCCTGATGTAGTATGCTATCTATGTGCTCATGTTAGTTGATATGCTTATGTGATGCTATGTTCAGTATGTTCCGGACTTCTGTCCGATGCAGTCATTTCCGGACTTCGGTCCGATGCAGTTAGTTCCGGACTTTGGTCCGATGCAGGAGGCAAGGCCTCAGTAGTTCCATATTTCGATCTGATGCAGAGGGCAAGGCCCTAGTTAGTTCCGAACTTTGGTCCGATGCAGTTTTCGGACTTCGGTCCGATGCAGTGGGCACGACCCAATATATGTTTATACGTATTATATGGTATGTGGTAGCTTGGGGGAGCTCACTAAGCTTCGTGCTTACAGTTTCATTTTTGGTTTCAGGTACTTCTGCAAGCAAAGGGAAGAGCTCGGGTTGATGGCATCGCACACACACCACAACTTCAGCTGTTCTGGGAGTTGTTTTGGTTTTCATAGATGTGATTGATATAGTCTTGATACAGTTTACTCATAACAATTTACTTTTGTTTGTGAGATATTGACGTACGAGTTTACCTTGTGATTTTATCATGGTGTTTTAGTAATTATTCAACAAAAATTTTTGGGTCGTATTTTGGGATGTTTCACTACTGCTTTAGGGTGTTAATTTTGTGTGTGGGTGGCTATCTTAGCCGGAATCTCTAGTGGGCCACCACCACCACCACCGTGAGGTGGTGGCTACCATCATGAACAGCCACCTGCTGCCATTAGGTGGCTATGTTTGTATGTGTGTTTATTAGTATGTATGAGTGTGTGTGTGTGTGTTAATTAGATGGTGTTGTAAATTGTAGCAAAATGGAATAATGGAAAAGAAAATTTGTCACCACCACCGTAGGCCAATAAGTCCCAATGTGACCTAAGAGCCCAACCAATGGACTAATGGGCTAGTATTGGGTTGGATAACCCTAATTAGGGTTTGGAAAACCCTAAGCGCATAAGAACCTAATTGCAAAAAACGTTTCGGACACATACGAGAGATTAATTATTAAACCTAAAATAATAATTAATAATAATTAAAAAACTAGCTTAAGGTAATAATGAACTTAATGGATTAAGTCCTTAATGGATTAAGTCCTTAATGGGTTAAGTAAGAAACACTTAACCCTCATCATCATTTCATGTGGAAACCCTAATTTTGGGATTAGGTGCTTGGACTTATCGAGACCTACATTTGGGCCATTGGAATGGAATTGTGTATTAAGCCTAATCACACCATATGACTTATTTAGTAAAGTGAGAGACTTAATGGATTAAGTCCTTAATGGGTTAAGTGAGAACCACTTAACCCTAATTGTCATTTTATATGAAACCCTAATTTCACTTAGGCTTTGTGTTAGGCCTTTCCTTTGGGCTTTGGTAATCGGATTATTAATGGGCCATTCAAGAAAAATCATATGGACTAGAATATGTTGATGGGATTAGGGTAAGACCCATATGAGGCTGTGGGCCCAATTTGGAAAATTAGGCCATATGTTGGCCTTTGGCCCATTACTTGACTATTGAGCCTTTAGTGTGTGAGTTGGACTTTGGGCTTGGAACCCAATTATTAATTGGGTGTTGTTTGATGTTGACAGTTCGGGAATCTGTCAACTAGCAGTTGGAGTTTTATCGGTGGTACTTCAGCAGTGTCATGTGAGTTCTCCTCACTATATCAACAGGGTCTAAGGCACCAAGGCCGAACCTTTATGGATTGTATTCGGATTATTGCATGTTATGCATACTAATTTATATCCTGGTAGTTAGGATGGTTATATGTTATGCTTTAGTGACATGTTAGGTCGATATCCTGGTTATAGGATTGTTGCTATGCTTTGTGATCTGTTAGATCGGTTTGACTGCTTTATGTTGTAGGCCAACATACCTGACGCGCGGTCCGGATAGGCTGTAGGCCCTGCATGGCGGTACAGACGTGCCGAAGGCGCGAAGAGTAGTTCAGATAGACTGAAGGCCTGTGAGGCAGTCCACTCAGGCTAATGACTCATTATGCATGTTGTTTTGTATTGGTTATATGATATGGTTATGTTTTTATGGAGTTGGTATTTTGGGGAAACTCACTAAGCTTCAGGCTTATAGTTGTTGATTTTGTTTCAGGCACTTATTATGATTGTGGGAAGGCGAAGGCGTGATCGTGCACTTCCTCATATTTTCATGATTGATTCTGGGGATATTCTGATGTCTGAACCATTTTGAAAACAAACTGTAATAACTTAATGGTTTTAAAATGTATTAAAAAGTTTAAATTTGGCTTGAATTTTATAGGTGTTACAAGTTGGCATCAGACGGTTTGAACAAATTGGAGGAACACTCATGTGAATCCAGTCTCAAATCAAGGAAAGGATGTTAAAATGAATTTTTAAATGGTTTTCAAAATAAGTAAAGGAGGATGCAGGGTGTACGATTAGCCAGAGCGAGTAAGTAGACCCCAAAATACCATATAATTATTTGATTATGTGATATGTTAGTACTGGGCTAGGGATCTTCAGGAATTGCATGATAGAATTGTCTGATTACATGATGCCTACTAGCCTTGGGTTTCCTCATATGAGATTGACATCATTACTGGAGTTGTTTAGTGTATGCATCACGGCTGTACATAACTAAGATATTATAGCCCAAGAATGTTTGATTTGGCCTTATGTTCTATTCTTATTGATTGGGGCTTAAGGTAAGATTGGATATTCGAAAGTCCATAGGGTCCAGCGTTATGTATGGCTAGCATGCACTAGTGCTGCAGGGTTGGTGGAAGTTTCATGGATGAGTGGGTTGTGTGAGGCCAGTAGGCCAGTTGCGAGATATATAGCATTCCTCTAGGAGTGAGGATTAAGCTCTCGACATGTTTATGTATATTGATTAGGGAATTGTGATGACACTTAAGACAAATATGGGTAGGTGTGGAAGGTAGTATGGGCCCGTACTACTGAAAGCACAGGACCTATACGCGTAGCAAGGAAGTCACAACCTCTAGGGTTTGGTTGGGAATAGGTTCCTGTTATTCTATGGAATATTAGAGATCTCCCTAGTGTATTATCATAATGATGGTTATAAGACGACTTGAGACCGGATCCAGGTTAGGATCAGGAGTTGGCAGCTAGGATAGGCCAACATTGTTAGAGGATCGTGTCAGTGAGATCATCCTGGAGGAGGTGATTGAGATTGTTCGGGGACAATTGTCGGAGATGTTTGGATCTATCAAGACCGTTATCGTCGAGTATTTCGCACTACTAGAAAAACAGTCTTTTACGACACTCATTGCGCGTCGTAAAAGGCTCAGACGACGCGCAAATGCGCATCAAGGAAGGCCCTGTCATAAAGAGAGACGATGCTCATTTACGACATGCAATTACAATGCGCGTTTATGACACGCAATGCGTATCAAGGAAGGCCCTATCATAAAGGAAGACGGCATGCATTCGTGTGTCGTAACCTTACGACGCGCGTGTTAATGACTCGCAATGCGTATCAAGAAAGCCCCTGTCAAGAAAGGTAATGTCATAAATGAAGATGGCACACATTTTTGCGTAGCGTAAATTTAAATGTTAAAAAAAAATTATATATTTATTAATTTTGAAATTAAATTTGCATTTAATTTCTCATAATAGAAATAAAATATCATATAAAAAAAATACAATCCATTGCATAATATAAAATAAGATTTCATACTCAAAAAATAAAATAAATTGCACAAATTATAATGTCATACAAAGAATCATTCAAATGTTAAACAAAAGTAATACATTGCTAACATGGGTTATACATTCCTATAAAACTAACAAATAATCATACAACTCTGTTTCTTACTGGAAACATTTCATGTTATTTGTTTCTGCCAACGCCTTGTGTGCGTACCACCTGCTTAATGTGTATTGGAAAGGAATGCCAAACATGATTATAAGTCTCCCTTAATCTTGATTACTCACCTGCTTAAGTAGAATGTTGTTGTTGAGAAGGTTACCTAGCAACAGAGAAAAACACAACACCTCTCCCAAAATCACAACATCATTTACAGAAAAAGGGTTGTCAATTACTTTCATTAAGACTTTCATTCAATCACAAAAATATTAAATAAAAGGGTGAAAAAAATAACTTACTTTTGATAAGTTGATCTCCCTTAGAGCAAACACAGCTAAAGCATTGAACAAGACCCTAGGGCCTTCTTCTAATTTAAACACAATGCTCGTTTGCAAAATTGAGGCGATAAAATAAAATTTAAATATTGTTTGGGTAGTTTATATATGATTTGATAATTTGATTTAAAATACAATAAAATAAATTATCTTTTTTATTATCTTATGGGGCTTGTCAATTCCTGGGATTATAGGTTCTCTTGCTAGTATTAGAAAACGAGTAATGTTATCTAAATCATCCTGAACATTCAATATAACAATTGTAAGACAAAAGGAGAAATGTATATTTGAAAATACTATGAGATATGATTTTTTTAATGTTATAAATCCATCAATTCCATTCATCACATAATTTAGCAAACTGATAGTTATCCTGTGCTAAAGTAGTTTTAATTAAATCTTCCCTTACAGCTCCATGGTATAACACCGTTGACAAAATCAGGACTTGTAACTGCAGAAATAGGGAACCCATTGGCCTCACCGTTTTGCTTTTTGGCATTTAGGCCTATCCTATTATATGCATACAAGCATGCTAGTATATGAACCTGTTCTACTGCTTCCAGAATGAGTGGGGTCCACTGAGGGGACTGAGCCTAGCTATAATAAGGTTGCTGTGAAACATGTTGACCTTTCACTTGAAAGTATTAATTGTTTTTCAGACATAGAAAGAAGTTTTAATGCATGCTTTAATCTTTCAATTTCCTAATAATCTCATAGAATAACATATAAATAATACAATAGGCTAGCCTAGGTTAAAAAAAGATCTAAGACTAGGCTGAGATACATAGGGATGGATAATGCAAATACAAAATATTATCTACATTAGGCCTAGCTAACAAGAAGAAAATGTGATACCACTGAAAATGATATGAAGTAACTGTTTTTTTGTTGCCAAATTGTAATGACTAAAAAGACTGTCTGTGACTGGAAAATGAGTTGCAGATTGCATGGAGTTATGAATCTGAATACCATACACATTAGAACAATTGTGGCTCCCATTGACAACTTTTTGCTTCATCTTTTGTAGTTTTATGCCTCCCATTGACAACTTTCACAAGTAAACTTATGATAAATACCCAATTGAAAATTTTGGCAGGCTAATGAAGCTCAGTGGCATCATGCACACAACAAAAGAAAATTGAAGAACTAGAAGCACAACTTCAGGAAGCTGAAGACATTGTAAAAGACCTTAGGGAAGAGTTGAGAGCAATTGAAGCAGAACCTGAGAGGTTCCCAAGAAGCAAACAAGTAAGGCATCACGTACAAGTAGACAATGCATCAATTCCTGAACCCCCTGTTACCGAAGTACAACCCAATTCAAAAAGTCAGAGACTTTATAATTCTTTATTTACATTAAAGAAATCTTTAATCAGCAACGGGGATTTACTTTCTATAATATTGAGAAGCAAAGAAACCAAATTGTATAGAAACGGGTGTACTCAAAGAATCCGAGCATGCGAACGAACCCCACCAGAAATAGGTGACACAAAGCCCGAGTCAATTGTCAAAGAGGATGAAGTAGTTGATAAATTACATATAACACCCTCTGTGGAGGAGAAACAAGTAGTAAAGGAGATGGATCTAATGGCTGGTAATTCATGTTTGACTTCTCCAACTTCAATCAAACTTTTAGAGGAAAATCTGACAAAGATTTAGTAAGAACGTGTAATGGTGAAAGCATAATTACAGAGAAAGATGGAATAATGAAACAGAAGAGCACAGAAATGGAGGTCGATCCACCATTAAAGAGTTCAGAAACAAAGGTTCTAAGTCAACCGTTGACTGATAGAGTTATCAAGTACACGTTTTAGAGGAAGAGGAAAAGAGGGGCTTTGATTAATGGATGTGGTTTTAGTGAAAGAAGTGAGGAGGGGTCTAGAAAGGTGAACTTGAAAGGGGAATCAATATGCTTACAACATTAGCAAGTTGATTTAACTCAGGTTGGTGATCTATAAATACAAGATCCACTGTAATCTTAAACACCCTGTTTCTCCAAAATACACGTGTTGGAGTAAAATTATCAAAAACACAATAAGATGTCATAGTTTTTGTGTTTTGTGTCTTCATGTGTATTCAAATATGACATTTGATTAAGCTTTTTTTTATGCAGCTTGATAAAGCAAGATTATTGAAGCTTGAGGAAGAAAGATATTTGAGCCATTGGTAAAAGAATAGGTAAGAGCAATGGGATAGCCATGCTGACATCCTGAAAGACCAGTGATATTATAATATAATTGCAATAATTAAAGAGAAATGGATAATAACAAGTAAGTAAGTACCTTGTTGTTCAAAGCCATATATACATTACCACACGTCTAGCATACCTAGAACCTGATCAATACAACTTCAACATACTTTGTAGTATTAACAACTATTAAAACCTCAAACAAAACAGTAAGACCGATAAGCTTTATAAGGCGAGTACTAATGCAAGATGTAAAGTTCTTAACTCAGAAAAAATAATGCAAATTAAAATTAAAAAAGACAATAATTAATATCACTTTGCATACCGACGCCTACACTTTATCATAATCTATTGACACTTGTTCCCTTTGCACCCAATTAACAAAAGTTTGACCTGTATCTGGTTAACAATTTAAGATACGTTAACATATAACAATGGAACCAATACCCACATAAATCATATAGACACACTAACATACAACCAAAGACACAACATCATCTACCTTATTTAAGAGTTTCATAGTTCAAGTTCCATGTCCAAGAGGCACAATAACATATATCCAGAGAGAGCATTACCAACACACATAATATATACTTACCTATAAATGTAATCATAATTTTAATCAGGCTCACAATAAGAAACAAAATATTAACTACAGCAAAAGAAATGAAATTAGTATAACACACACTTATCAAATTCTTAATCAGTACTCACAATCAGAAATTTTTTAGTTAGACCTCAGAATAAGAAACAAATTTACGGGTAGACAAACCATTAGAGAAAAAATGCAGAAAAGAAAATAGAACAAATAGTACATACATGTGGAAGAAGATTATTCTGATGGAGAAGAAATCAACTTAATATTTAGTAGGCTTGGACCAGAGATCGATGGTGAGACCTGTAATTATGTGGTTAGTAAAAACCGAAGATCAATTGAAGTATTGTGGGTATCAGCGAACACTATTGAAGGTGAGACCCTAACATGAAGTTCGGCCAGTGAGCGATGGTTTCCTATATCTTGTTGAAGGTGAGGGAAGCACGAATATAATCAATCAAACTATAATTTTAGAACAGGAATATTTCAATGGAGGGATGGGAAATTTCTTTGGCTGTCGATTTCAACTTTCATGGAGGGAAGGGAAATTTTCGGCTGGACGGAAAGGGAAACAAGCCCTAAATATTTCGAAGAAGTTAGGCTGACCGGAAGCAAGGATGGTAGTACCCACCAGCTCGGGTGCAACATTGAGGAGATGGAAATCAATGGATTGGATTTTGGATTTACCTAGAAGGATTAGATTAGGTGAGATCGCCAAAACTGCATCCTTTTGGAGTTTTATGGATGTTAGCCTTTCGCTTTGGTACTTGAGAATAACTTTCGCTCTTTAGAGAAGAGGCTTCACCTGACATCTTGACTGGTTCCTTGGAGTCAATTTTAGTACCACTTGTACTTGGCACATCAAATCGTGTAGGATCATTAAGTGGTTCTGCCACATACCTACCTTTCACTCTCCATGATGCTTTCTGAGATAGACCTTCTGTTTCATCGGCATTATCTATCGGTGCTGACCAGAAAAACTCATCATAACCATTAACATTATCTTCTTCTACTAATGTCGTTAGTTCGGTTGTCTGCTGCTGTGTAATTCCTTGAACTGTGTAAACTTGATTTGAAGTTGTTTGAACCTTTTGATATACAATAGATTTTGCCAATTTTAGTCTTGTCTTTTGATGAGCGAGCGAACTCAACAGAGTTTTCAAAAATAAGATTTTTATTGGTTTCGGGTTCGCTTTTGACAAATTCAGAACAATCCACCTCATCTTCGACAGAAATCACACTCATATCATCATCCTCATTGAATTCAAAAGTGTTTTCAATATCAATTTTGTTTTCTGAATTCAACTTGGCATTCAAAGAGTCAAATTTTTGTACAATTTTGATTTTTATTTTTAATTTGTCATTCTCATCCAACAAATTTTTGAGCATGTCCTTATGGTATTTTGACTTTATGAAGGACTCTATTTTGTCAAGGCCAATTTTGTAAGAGGAAGAAATATCATCAGAAGAAATAATGTTTTCACAGTTATATGCATCAACATCAATTTCATCCTCCTGAAACTCAAAGAAGGGTAAAATCATACGATGTATCTTATTTCCTATATCACAATTAAGATGCAATTGAGTAATGTTGGAATATAATCTTTTAGCATTCAAGCAAAAAACATTTCGTTATTTCAAAAGATTTAAATTATCTCTTTTCAAATAAATTGTTTCATCCCTAGACCTAATCAACTCGTTCTCCTTTTGCTCTATCCACATATGCCTCTGCTCACTCTTCGATGATATCATGCTGATTTGATCAGTTAGGTTAGAGTTTGTGACGTGTGATTAAGTTAAACTACCACTTATACTAGAAAATTTAGATTTTAATCCAATTAGTTCTTTTTCATAGTTTGTGATGGGGATATTTAAATAAACAAGAATAAACTGTACCTTCTTGGTCAACTCATCGCATTCATTTATCTGCACACTGACAGGTTTCGTTGCAAAACACCTGTCTTCTCGCTCTTTCGCTTCGTCTCTCCCCCCATCAGTGGTATAACCTCTCATTTGTGACACCTCAAAAGTCACCATTAGACACATTCCAGCAACTATTTCTTCTTTCACCAACAAATCCCTGCCATGAGTGGGCTTCCTCACTTCTTCATCTTCATAATCAGTCAACCAAACTTCAACACTGCCAAATTCAGCTTCAACAATATTTCACTTCACAATTAAAGCATTCATTGAGTTATGAGATCCAGCTTTCTTTTTCTTGATTTCCTCCGATCGACGTAATAGGTTTGCTTCCTCGTCATCATCGTCATTCTTTTCAGACTTCTTTCTCAACATGAAATCTTTGGCAAAGTGATTTTTGCCTCCACAACAGTAACAGTTAATGCCCGAGTCACCACCAAATTTTGTTTCCTTCTTTGGTTCTTTAGACTGAGGAACACTCTTCGATTCCTCGTTCACATTCTTAACACTGTAGCTTCCCTGCCAGTTTTGGTTTTGTTGGCTGGGAATCTTCTTTTGATGAACTTCTTGGGATTGGACACCATTAAAGCAAAATCTTCACTTGTTAGATCATACTCAGAAAGATCTGAATCTTCTTCTTCTTCAGCAACATTCTGTCTTTTGGAGATTAGAGCTAATGATCCCATGCTAGAAACCACGTTCGTTTCTTTAGACACTGCACTCTCATGTGACTTTAATATTCCCACTAGCTTTGCAAGAGAGTAAGCCTTGAATTGTTCGTGTGACTTCACAGGGGACACTACAACCATCCATTCGGTTCTAAGGCCATTCATAAATGTGACCTTTTGTTCAATGACTTTCCTTTCTATCCCATGATTTATCATCTTACAAAGGAGATGATTAAAGTGATCGAAAGCTTGAATAAGCTTCTCTTCAGGCTTCTGCTTAAAGTCACCAAATTCCAAGAGCAATAAAGTTTTGATGGAATGCTCAAGACCTTCATCTGTGGAATATAGTTCCTTCAACTTGTCCCATATCTCCTTCGCCGTTGTGCATGAACTCACGAATCGAAACGTGTCTGATTGTAAAGCAAACCTAATCATCCTTAAGGCTTTGATGTTTCATTGAAACTTCTCTTTCTCATCTTTGGGTATGTCTTTCACATCATTAGCGAGTTGATTGTAATCCTTTTGAGTTTTGATGATTCTTGAAGTGCTTGAATGAGCGAATGGACCAACAGTTATCGCCTCCCAGATCAAGTATCCATTATCTTGAGTGTACAAAATATGAATTATTATCGTCGATCATATGTTGTCGGAGATATTGATTAGGTTTGACTGAGAATCGTCCATTAACATGACGATTTTGTTAAAAAAAACCTTGCTTAAGATCAGACTTGTAAATAATGTTAGGGTAAGATTGAATAATTGAAGAAAAACGTCAACAACAAATGACGACTCTAACAATATCAATCAAAGCGGAACAACCCTAATATCCTCTTCAACAGAAGAGATGTGTATGAATTACACAGTCTCCTGCTCTGATACCAATTGTTGAGTTGAAAAACTCTTAGATCGATTAGATCTTCAACAAATTAAACATCAAAAGCTAACAAACATAAAAAACACGATATAGAATCAACTAATGCTTAATGATTCAAAGTAGTGACGCCTTAGTAGAGCTCGATGAAGAACTTCCACTGTAGAGGCGAGCTACGGTTTGTAGTATAATAATCAGAATAATAATTAAAGCGATATCTACTAAGAATGCATGCCTGCACCTTAAATACAAAACCCTAATAAAACAATCACGGTTGGATAGGCCCAAACCGGATAACAAAACTCGGCTAAGGGGTGAGCCCAATGACGCAACACAATTAGACCCAAAAATCGGCCAATTAGTTATAATGTTCAATTTTGAATTCCAGTTTCAATAATCTCGCACCAATCTCTATAATTTCACCTCCTTCTCTTTACCAACCTTACACTCCCCCATTCTCCACAAACCTTACACTCCACCACCACCACCATTCAATCATGTCATTATCATGCATGTCGAAGCATCGTAACGTGGACTGCATTTATTGTTTGGTTCACATCCAAACTACAATTTCAAGTAAGCATCATGTCTATGTCTTCTTTTTCACATTTTGATAAAAAGTTTAGATTTTTTGGATAGTGTAAGATGCCATGATCTTATTTCATGGAGATTATAGAGGTGGTGGTACGCGACGACAGCTGGTGTGATGAGTTATCTATGATGGTGATGGTAAATGGTTCGATGCTAGTGCGTTTTCCAGTAGAGATGAAGGGTGTTTCACAACAATCACATTTCTGACTATCGGTTGTAGACCCCTGCCCTATGATTTAGTTTTTATTTCGATTTTCTTTTCTCCCCAATTCTTGATTTCGATTTACCTATGGTTTTTTATTCTGACAAAGGTTTAATTTTGAAGATCATTTTCTTATGTGGTTACTAATGAAAAGTCTTAGTATCCGTGCAAATCCCTTCTTCAATTGATACAATATGTGATTAATATCATCTTAGTGACACTTATGTTTCATTCTTATTTGTTGTAGGAAATCCATTCTCTTATCATATCTCTTAACTATATAAGAATTGAAATCAAGACAGTGCACCCCCTTGAATATTGGGACACTGGTGTCCTTGTATTTGTTTCAGGTTCAGTGCATTAAAAATATTTTATTCATAGGGGGAATTTTGTGCATACAGTTTTCCTTGAAACGTAGGAGAAAGACTACTTTGTACACAACAATATCTTTCACTACATTGATGATCGGCCAATTCATCATTATCACCATGTTGCCTATTTGACTCAAACCATCCTCTTTCTAAGTTAAATGCATCAACTGCTCTTCAAGAACAAGGTATTGTAGATTTTTTTTTTATTATCCATGAATCGTTTACATGGCATTTTTTTATTACCCTTGATTTATTTACATAGAATTCCCTTCTATGGAATGAAAATTATACAACTTACTAATGAAATTTCATGTTTTGAAATGGGCAATAACTTTGTGGCCTGTGCTGACTACAATCTATGAAGTGAGGATCTTCAAGTTGGATCCTCACCCTCGTTGTCATCTCGTAGGGGTGGATGTGGTGATCACCGAGGAAACTTTAACCACCAAGGTGGTGGCCGGAATAACCACAATCGTCGGCAATAGCAAACACTGATAGCTATAGATCAACAACATCGCAACACCTAATATGAATGGGTGTTCATTCCTCCACTGCCTTCTGTTAACCCTTCGTGGATCCAAAGTTAGGCCCCACCTTTTGTCTTAATTCTCACATGTATCCTCATCATGCCCAACATCAACAACACCCAAATTGGATTAGGACCACATTGAACAACCCATGAATCCTTGGAAACAAGTTATCATTTTCCATTGGACCTCCTTGAGCCCACATGTAGTCTTCAGATCCAATTCAACCCCCGTGTGTAACAGTGGATTTTATCAGGTATCTTGTTTATTATATTTTGTTGATTTGTGGGGGGGCTCGGCAAGTTGGAGCTCAGACTTGCCGAGTAGGGACGCGGATCTGGACGCGGGATCGCGCCTGGACTCAACGAGTCCAGGATATGGACTCGGCAAGTCAGCGCTGTGTAACGAAACCCTAATTTTTCAGGTTTGAGACTTATTTAAAGGGCCTAATGGCCGTCATTTGTGCTCACCAGCCCCTTAAGTGAAACCCTAATCGAGTGTGAGCATTTGGAGCTAAGTAGGAGGCCATTATTGACCTTGG